GTGAATTGCAGTGCTTTTGCCTTATTGATACACATTGATTTATTGCTGTGGAATTGAAGTGAACACAAGTGTGCTGTGTCTTTGTTGAGAAGTGGCCCTTATCCATGCTTACATGTTCGTGGAAGGTTATTATATCTGCCCCCGTCAGAAGCCCAGAGTGATACAGTGAACTGAAGAGAGAGTACTGTGAATATCCCCACCTGTTCTACGTGCTGTTTGAGCCCAGAAGCACACAGCATCGCTGGTAAAGTAACCTTATGACTCACTGTCTCCCTATTGTGAACTGAAGAGAGAGTACTGTGTACTGTGAATATCCTCACCTGCCATACTTACTGTTTGAGTCTGGAAGTCTGCAGCACCGCTGGGGGAAGAGTAAGCTTTTAATCCACTGCTTCATTACTGTGCACCAACGAGAGAACCCTGTACTGTGAAGAATCCTTACCTGTCATACTTACTCTTGGGTCTGGAAGTCTGCAGCACCGCTGGGGAGAAGTAAGCTTCAACCCCCCTGGTCCATCATCGTACATCGACGAGAGTCTCTTGAACTGTGAGAAACCCTTGGTGTAATAAAGATTGTTACTCCTTTGAAACTTATCTCTGTCTCCGGGTCCTCTGTTGTGTGCCTGTGGTGTCGGCTCCTCACGTGGTGACTCAGTTAGAGGGGGTGTGGTTGGTCACCCGAGCGTTCCTCCCCTCGACCTGTGACATCACCATAGTAACTTTGATCTGTTTGAATATTTTTATCCGTCTTTAATACATGATTCTAAAGGATGAATTAAAAATACCCGGTATTTTTTTTTTTAAATAAATAATAAATTATTAAAGGTGCATTGCGCAACATTTCATGTTAAAAAGCCGTTTTCTAACCCATACATGCTTAAACACTTGCCTGATGGGCTGAATGAGCCCTTCTCTGATCACTGAGATCGCCTCTATAATCCTGTACAGTAAATAAATTAGAGGGATTCGGCGCTCGAATCTGAGACTGGCAGTGACGTCATGCGCGTTCACGCTCTCCTGGCTATGTGCCTATTCTTGCAGGGGGAGTGTATTTCGCCACCATTCTCCGTATCAGAGAAGACCACTCGAGCGACACAACTTTAGTCAACTTTCCACAAAAGTTGAAGATGGATTTCAAAGTGGCTGTTTAGCCTACATCTGGTCACTTCATGCGTTTTCTGTGATCGGATAGCTATTCGATCGTGAAAAAGACCAGGTTGCCCTCCGAAATGCATTCGAGACGGATTTGAATCCGATCGCTCAAATCACTTGAGGACGTGGTCTGGGCCGTATTCCAGACAAAACTGGACAAGTGTAAATGCATCTGGTTGTTGAAAGCAGGCTATAGGTTATGTTATTTTAGTCATATATGACGACGCACATCACCTCAGATGAGCAGCTGAGCGTCTATTCATAAAGCCAGCGCGCCTCAATCTATCGCAAATCAAAGTGAAAGTAAGTCGCAGACTCTTAACACTACCATCTTCATTAAAAGTAAAGAAATGAAATGATCTTACCAGGGCTGTTGCCGTTCTCTCTTATTGCTGTCTTTGCTGATTTTGAAATTAGCCGATGATTAATAAAATGCAGCTCACATCTGTTGCTTTCGGTGACGTGCACTTCATGAATTCTGTAGCCTATATAGCGCGGGAATTGAAGATCAGATTATATCCGTTTTGCAAAAACACATTTATGTTTGCAGGTGTAATGGAGTCGTTTTGATAAATCAGATCTGAGAAAACGCATTGTGGCCAGGCGTAAACAGCCCCAAAGAGACCGGCTTGTAGTTCATTCCAAACCCCAACGCAAACTCCACATGAGACAAAGAAAATATAACTTCAGTCTGTCCAGTGCCAGTCGTCGGAATAAGACGAGAGTCAACATCGGGAAGGCTTTCAACAAACTGAGAGATCTCCGGTCGGCTCTAGGGCTCAAACGGGTCCTTTACAAAGTAATAACTTATATTGTTCATGAACGTGTTTCCATAATTATAGGATACAGTAAGCAATTAAAACAGTTCAATATAGAGATAGATGGAAACTTGTTTTCTACTACCCCTGTTTTCCCCTCACACACATAAGTGTGTACTCGAATGCCTTTCCTTTCATATATTTTAAATGACCTGCAGATTTATATCTGTATTACCTCATTATGACTGTAACAAAATATGTGTGCCGGCTGATGCTCCTTTGGTTATGAACAGCTCGTGCAAACGTACAATAAGTACGTGTATGTGTGTGTGAGCGCGCACGCAGTTTCACTTGTCGCCAGAGGGGCGTAGTTCTGCAAAAACTCAGATACTTGCATTTAGCTCCTTTAAAATTTAATAATAATTATTAATCTTTTTTTCTTTTTTCTTTTTTTGGATCCGGGGCTATAAAAAACACATCCGGGGCTGAAGCCCTGAATGCCCATGTCTAACGACGCGCCTGGTCTGTATCATGAGCAGTGAAGGGAGGAAAGTGCTTGAAGAATGGAAGACTCAGTTTGCGGTCAACGAGCGAGATGGACAGCCTTTCTGCTTGCTCTGGAATAAAATACTGTCAAATAATGTCAACAAGCATTTCGATACCACACATGAAACTCTTGATACGAAATAATCTGGATCTCAGGAAAGCGCTTTAAAGATAACTAGTCTTGAAAAAAATGCCATTGTTGAACAGAATACATGCGAGCTAGCTTAAAAGTGTCTCAGGCCGTGACATTAGCAATGTTAAAAATGTCCTGGATCCTTGCTAAACACAACAAACCATTCAGTGACGGAGAGCTGGTCAAGAACTCACAATGTCTGTTTGATGACCTGAGCAACAAGAGCGAGATCATTCACAGGATAAAACGTTTACAGCTCAGCAATGACACAGTTACTCGTCGAATCTCTGAAATGTCTGAGAATTTGACAGAACAGCTAAAAACTAAGCTAGCCACAGCTTCAGCACTCAGTTTGGCTGCGGATGAATCGACGGACATCGGAGATGTTGCTCAGCTTTGCATTTGGGGGAGATGTGTGTATTCTGAGTCTTTTGAAGTTACAGAAGATTTATTGGCATTGAAGTCGCTACAAGAACGAACAAGACGAGGACATTAATGAAGCACTTAGTGAAGCATGCAAAGACATGAACGTACCCGAACCCTCAGTTGTCTCCATCACTACCGACGGTGCGTCCTCAATGACGGGAAAACACAAGGGTCTCGTTGCTGAAATGAGGAAAATCTCCCCTGACTTGTTGGCATTTCACTGTATTGTAGATCAACAAGCACTATGGAGCAAGTTAGTGGATGGAGACTTCGTGGAGGTTATGAACATTGTGGTCAAGCTGGTCAACTTCATTCGAGCGCGGCCTCTAATGCTCTGCCGTTTTATGACGTTGTTGGGCGAACTGGACATAAGCTTACGGAGACCTCATCCTGCACAGTGAAGTGAGATGGCTAAGTCGTGGAAAAGTCTTGCATCGCTTTCTGGCTGTACTCCCCGAGATAGTCAACTTTCTTAATGAAAGATTTCCAGTCTTGAGAGACAACGAGTGGAAAACAAACGTTGCTTTTCTTTCAGACGTCACAGCTCACCTAAACAAGCTGAACTTACAACTTCAAGGTGACGAAAAGCATGTTGATGACCTGTTGGGCTGTGTTGAGAGTTTCAAAATGAAGCTAGGGCTGGACACGGCACAACTCAAAGATGATGATTTAACTCACTTTCCACTTCTGAATGACGCGTGTGAGGGTGTACCGGACATACAACAGAAAAAACGGTTTGTTAAAACCTCGTTTTGTGATTTTGAGTGATAAAATCTGCAGGACATTTCATCAGAGAGACATTGACTTTCCCTGTGGAAAAAATCAAGGACTTGACTGCAACATCGGCTTGTCCCGCCGCGCACTGGAAGATGAACTGATGGATGTTCAGGCAAGAGGACACAGCCATACCGCGCAACAGTCATCCTCAGTTACAGAAATGTGGTGAAACATCTGGACTAAACCTCAGATTATTAAGTTCAAAAGTGCTTTCCATATTTGGGTCGACGTACATTTGCGAACGCACATTTTCTGCAATGACGCGCATCAAGTCACGTTTCCGTGCGCGTCTTACAGACTGCAACTTACAGTCGCAACTTCATTGTGCTGTTACTCCTTTTGAGCCAAATTTCACCAAATTGGTCTGCTCCCGACAACATCAGGTGTCCCATTAATGGTAAGTAGAATTATACTCTCTAATAATAATAATAATAATAAATGTAAGTGTAATCATTTAGATACCTTAATGCTCAATATCTGGTTAGTTTGCATTGGTGACACTAAATGTAAATGATATGCTGCCTGTGAAACTTGAACTTAGACATAGTGTGACACGCTGAAAAAACGGTTGACAACCACACTCTGGGCTATAAGAAAACGCTGAACATTTCGACAGCATGTTTCACAGTCTCTAGACACTTCCTCAAATGGGCTTCACAGCTTTATCAGTGTTTTAATCTGTTCTGAGAAGAGCTATTCTCTGAATGTGTTCAGATGCATCCTGCAAAACCTCCATCATCTGGAAATCACACTGAATCAGTCAGGACACCCCTATGATAAAGTCCCATAGAGGCAGGCAGATGCCATTTTATGGGTGTTAGCTGGGTGTAGCTAACAATAAGCAGAACATTATAATCCATGTGTACAAACTCTTCCTGAAGACATTTAATATCTGCTTTATAGACACTCGTGAAGTGTGTAAAAAACTGTTTTAGTATTAATTTTCTACTAGTTAGTCATGGATATTGGAAACCTTTTTAGAAACAAAGCAATTGTATCACTAATAATGTAATTTTTTTTCTAAGCCTAATGTGATAAACCATAGATATCTATATAAAGGCTAGATGTCTTAAGGTGGAGTTTCTATTGCCATCACCGGCGGCCATCTTGTCACAGGTAAGCTGATGTAAGATGAGTGGTCAACACGAACACAAATACTCTTATCTCGTTGAAATCTTGACGGATTTACAAACGGTTTGGTTTCTTTACAAACGAGAGAGCAACACTTTTGTTTCTTACACACAGAGAGAGCAACACTTCACTGTCATGGACTGAAATAGTGTCACTATAGCAACGGATGTAAACAGTTCATCAGATAAGATGAAGTCAATAACCACAGGAGGAGCTGATGATGATTAAAGGAGGAGCTGTAACTATATATAATGAAGAGGAAGAGCTGTCACTATATCTAATGAAGAGGAAGACGGACAGAAGCAGAAATGTCTGATCAGTGTGATCTGTGTCTGCTGGGACTGATCATTCTCTCTTCACTTCTCACAGGTAAAGAAATCTGTATTTTCTCTAAACACATTTAGTGGAATTAGTCTGGAAAGAGTTCATTTGAACATGCTCAGTTTATTCTTGCACACATTCACGTTGTGATCTCCAGAGTTGTGTATTGATACAACACACGTTATACAAAAGATACACACTGAGAATCGATCATCTGTTTATTTCGTCAACACCAAACGTTACACACCACGTCGTTCGTGCTCTAAACAACAACAACCGCACTTCCGGGAACTTCATAATATGAGTCACATTTTATTCCCGGTAAAACAGTCATGTGAAATCTTAAACAATATTCACACAGAGGTATAATGCGCATGAACACATGTTTAATGTCTTAAACTTAAACTCCCACTCTTAAAAAAATAATAATAATGATCTTTCAATTCAGCATACTAACAGGACTGAACACAACTTCCTTGAACAGAAATACGGCCTAGTATATTTTAGAAGCTCTCGAGTCCAACTCAAAGACAGACGTTTTAAATGGCTCTGGAAGCCCCAGACTCAATCTAATAGTATTTATGCTCAGAGTGTTCCCCTCGATGTAACCCCTCCCCATTAAACTCTATGATAATGTGAAGGTGTGGGTGATACAATGAGGCTGATTGGATTACCATCTATACATGACACTGTTATGCTGATGAGATCAGAGATGGGGAATTTCCAGTAACGAGCTGAATCCTGTGCCTCATTTACATGCTTTGTTTCTGCACTCTTTCTAAAGCTCTCGTCATAAACACTGAAGTTATCCGCACTGCACTGTGAATCTCTCATTTATATCGCGTCTAGACTTTGTTTATGAGGGGATTTGCAAAAGGATAAAGCTTGTGCTGATTCTGAACATGTATTTTGAGTGAATTCTCTGCATGTTGACTCTAAAATGCCTCTGATTTGCTCACTGTGTTCATGCACTTAATATACATGTCTGTGATTGGCTATAATGCACAACACAAGTAGTTTCGTTTCGTTTTTGAATAATGTGTCCTCCAGTGCCCGGACTCGATTGGACTCGGACTATTTTCCGTGTCTAAAATGTCCGAGTCCGAGAACAAATTCATCCGAGTGCGTGACAAGTCCGAGTTCATTCAAAACTGGACTCGAGTCCGAGTTCGAGTACCCCAACACTACGAACCTCCAAACTCCATCTGAGTCCGTTTCGCCTGATGCCTTTATTTCTGATGCCTTTTTGTCTGAGGCTGTTTCGTCTGATGCCTAATTGTACGACACTGACATTGTTTTTCCTGAGACCTGAAGCTTTTCAGTCTGAGGCATGATGCCTTGTCTTCATAATGTCTGAGGATGTCCTAAATGTACACCGTACCGCTGAGAAACACGCAGGAGAACAGGGGAACAAATGTATTATGTGCAATGAATGAGAAAAGAAGAAATGAAGCGATCTGGGGAGGAAAAAGGGAAAACTGGACAGAGCCAACACAAAGAAAAGAATAAAACAGAAAGGATCTTTCTCACCCGTTTCAACTAACTCCGAATACAGAAGAAAAATGTAGAAAGAAAAGTCTTCCCTATACTTCCCTACTCTATCTATCAAAAGAACAATGACAGCGAACGGCACATGCCCTAAACCTAGTGTGTGTAATACTAAATAAATCAGAACTAAGTGTGTCCGACGTACGTCACGTGACATCACTTCCCTTTTATATATGTCGAAATAAAGGCAGCGCATCAGCCGTTGATTAGCATTATACATACGGGAAAGTAAAAGGAGGGAGTTTGTGACCCTATAGACAAACAGTGTGCCGGATGGAAGAGCCGAAGTAAACTTCACAGAACTGCAAGAAAAACAACAACGCCAAAGTTTCCTTTTCAACTGTCGAGTAATTCCCTTGATGTTTATCAAACTTACGGGAGAAAAAGCACACTGATGGTCCACATCCTCGCCGTCTAGAAGCAAAACTGCTCCAGTAACTCCATGTATCCGCGCTCGCATCAACTTACAACTCAAAGAGCGATCCAAACTCAGCCGAAACTGGGCAGCTTTACAACAGAGCTTTAACACTCTCAGATGCAGTCGAGAGGACAAATATCATCATTTAATACTTCTTAGGGATGCACCGATACCACTTTTTTGGAAAACGAGTACGAGTACTTGCATTTCAGTACTCGCCGATACCGATACCGAGTACTTAATAAAACAACAACAAAAAAAACATGATTTAAATATTTTTATATACGGGTTTTTAGGTCCTTGATTAAATTACTTGGGTAACACTTTATTTCAATAGTCCACTTTACTAACTATAAGTAACTTTTCAATTACATGTCAACTAACTGTCATTAGATTAGTAGACTAGAGTATTAGTACGATCAGCTTAATATCTGATAACACTTTATTTATTTGGTCCCCACAACAGACATTCAACTGACTATAGTAACTTGGCGACTACAAGTAAACTATATTCTCCTAATCCAAAGCCATTCACTTTGAAATTGTTCCACACCAGTGATGCACGGGTTGATCCAAAAGGTGAGCGGGTGCCTGCGCCGCGGTCACGCGCGGTTACCGCAGTTAGGGTCATCCAAAAATATTTTTTAATGATATTCGGTGTCGCGTTCGGTCAGGTCGTTTGGAAAAAATTAATTAAACCTTGTGTATTTATATAGTACTAGATACAATTTTTCTATGAAATATACGCGCCTTTATTTATTGCTGAATAACTGGCACGAAGATGAACACAGCTCAGTCTAAAACAGTCTCAGTTCTGTACTGGTGTGATCCGAGAACCGCTGTTACCTCTGCGTTCGTTACTACGCGGATGCGCAGTATCAGCTGCTCGTGCTCATCACTTCTCTCAGCTGTGGCAACAACATGTCTCAGTTCAGTGAACTGTTAGAGTTACTGGAGTAAAATATAATTCGGGATATTGGTTTATTTCAACTCGGAGGGACTCAGTGCATCATGTCTGAAAGTGAGTAAACTGTAGTAACTTGTGGATCAGCACTGACGCAAGACGTGAACTGATGCGAATGATTCAGTTCGATTTAGCGTACTGGTTCGACCGGTTCATTAAAAAGAACCGATCCGTTCACGAACCGGCCGTGTCTATGATCACTAGTCTGCAGAGAGATGGAGGCGGCAAGAGAAAAGGTGAAGACTGGGGAGTGGAAGCTCCGCAAATACACAAATAGAAAGAGTAAGTGTCACCGGGTGAACCAACTAGGAACCAAAAAAAAAATATTGACTCGTTTCCAGGGGGAAGAAGTGCCGGTGTAACACCGGGCCGGCTTTTGGTAAACATATCTGACTATAATGAGCGCCAGCTGAAGCCAATGAGCAGCGCTTCATTGAATCTCATGCCGGGAGGGAAGAATATAAAGAGAGAGGCTTGAAGCATAGGAGGTGAGCTTTTGCAGTGGGAGAACTTCACACAAGTGCTCGAGGGGATTAGAGCAGTGACAGCGGGCGGCAGGATAAGGCTGGTTCCTTGTTCATCTCTGTGAGATCATTTGTCTTTGGATCATCCATCCTATGAAGAGAAGAGAGGCGAGTTGTTTTAATCACTGTGATGGTAGAGTGAGTTGCAGTGTCTGAAAGAGTGAAACAAACACGTGTGAAGATTTCCAAGAGTGATTTATGCACGAGTGTGGTGAGATCAAACAACTGTGTTCTCTCTGAGTCTCTGATGGATGAGATCGACCCATAAACCTTAGAGTTTTTTTTCCTGATCTGCTCTCCTGCCTGTGTTGAAGTAAAACAGAGCTGCTGAATCGAGTATCTCCTCCTGCTGTCATCCAGTCATCCTATGCAGCGAGCCTGACGACGAGAGAAGTCACTGTCAGTCCACGAGCTGATGCAACGAGCCTGACGACGAGAGCAGTCACTGTCAGTCCTACGAGCTATGCAACGAGTTTGACGACGAGAGAAGTCACTGTCAGTCCTACGAGCCTATGCAACGAGTTTGACGACGAGAGAAGTCACTGTCGGTCCCACGAGCCTAGCTGACGAGAGCCTGACGACGAGAGAAGTCACTGTCAGTCCTACGAGCCTATGCAACGAGTTTGACGACGAGAGAAGTCACTGTCAGTCCTACGAGCCTATGCAACGAGTTTGACGACGAGAGAAGTCACTGTCAGTCCCACGAGCCTATGCAACGAGTTTAACGACGAGAGAAGTCACTGTCAGTCCTACGAGCCTATGCAACGAGCCTGACGACGAGAGAAGTCACTGTCAGTCCTACGAGCCTATGCAACGAGTTTGACGACGAGAGAAGTCACTGTCAGTCCCACGAGCCTATGCAACGAGCCTGACGACGAGAGAAGTCACTGTCAGTCCTACGAGCCTATGCAACGAGCCTGACGACGAGAGAAGTCACTGTCAGTCCTACGAGCTTATGCAACGAGCCTGCCAACGAGAAGAGTCACTGCCTGTCCCTACTTTTATTCTTTTTTAAACTTAATAAAAAAAGTTACTCTTGAACCCACTTCTGTCATCTGTCTCTTGGTGTCCTTCGGTGACTGCTCCTCCGGAGTGTGGTAGATTACCCTTGGTCTTGACCCCGGTGACATAACTTTTGGCGTAGTCGGCAGGGTTACCACTCGGAGTTGAGCGGCCAGAGGACCCAGGATGGCGGACGAGGATTTGCCGGCCGCCCGTCAGCCAATGGCATCTATATTTATGGGAGCCCCGTGGGCTCCGAGGTACAGTGGGCCTGGCTCAGAGTTAAGCCTGACAGACTGGAAGACGCAAGTGGAGTATCTAGCTGGGCTGCAAGGGCTCCGAGAAGCCCAGAGGATACAATTTGTGTTGAATTCGCTCGAGGGGAGGCGAAGAGAGAAGTACGAGCAGCACCTGAAGCCGTCCGAGCCACTACACAAGCAATTTCGAGTTTTTATCCAAACAGTATGGTGATTCCACTCCAGTGGCAGTGTTGCGGGCTCAGTTTTTTACTGTAAGCAGGGACCTGGGCAGACTCTGCGAGCGTGTTCGCTCTGCGACTGCGGGAACAGTTCTCCAGGTTGAAGAGTCGGGA